ATATATATATATATATATATATATATATATATATGCACATTTAAGTGTTGTTTTAGTAAAAGATTTGAAAACTGTTTCCTCCAAGTTCAGAGATTTGCACTGCTTTATGTTAAGCCTTATAAAATGTGGATTTTAAGGTGTAAAATGTGGAAAAGTTGAAGGTGCTTACATACTTTTGCAAGGTACTGTACTACGATTACCTTTACAGGAAGAATAATGCTTAGACTAATGGTTAGAGTGGCAATATAGTTTCAGTGAAAGATAAGGAAAATGTGGAGGAAAGAAAGGTTGTTCCAGAAAGAAGAGATTTACTGACAACAACTGAATAAGAGACAAATAGACACGACAGGGTCAGGCAGTAAACCGACAGAAATTCAGGGTGAGAATGAAAGGGCAGATAAAAAGCTTGGTTATCTCTTTTCCTCAAGCTCCCAGGTTTATCACTTGATTTATGAACAGTGATCTCTATCGGTCTGACAGGATGGTATACATACCTTCTTTTTATGTGCTGCTAGGGCGGTGTGCAGTTTCTCTGGGCGCAAGTAGCCATTATCGGTTAGCACATAGAAATGAATGTCCACTGTTCTCGCCTCTCTGTCTGCTACACTGAAAATGTTGATACTTCCTGGTCTGACAGACAGGGTTTCAGTCAGGAAGTCCCAGAATGCCTCCAGCCGACTTTTCCCCTCGACGTTTGAGTCGATAAATTCTCTTGCTGTAATGCCTTAGGGAGACAAAGGAAATGGAGGCTCATGTCATAAGAACTACTGGCTCGTCAATGACAACTGCAGAGTTGATCAAAGTCTGTGAAGTTCCTTATTCCATTAACACAAGAGGTAGCCAAACATCTCGCTCTATTGATCCGCTCCCTACCGGAGTCTTCCATGAGGTGAATAAGTCAGAAGTCTGTTTCCACATTGGCATGAGGCCGGAGTCTTGACAAACTGCCTTGTACAAAACATTTTAAATGACTGGAAAATCAATCACGTTTGGGGTGGAACCCACCTGCAAAATGTGAGCAGTCATCTTTAATCTCTCAGACACGATAACAACCCTGAGTCAGAGGCATCCATAACAGCCTTTGACTCTGTTCGCCGAATGGCTTTTTAAATGTCAAGGACTTTACCTGACACTTTCAGATTGACCTTTATAACTGAGATTTGATCTGAGAGACTGCCAGAAAATGAATACACTAACATGAACTTCAGACCACAGCAGAGAAAGAAGTAGAAGAAGAAAACTGTAATGCATGAACAATGTGAATAGTTGCTTTGCAATGCTTAGAAATGTTAAACAATGCATGATAGAGGGAAAAAAGATCTCTTGACAGGCTGTTATTTGGGTGTTAACTGGGTTGACAACTTGATAGTCATTAAATGAAAAGTACAAATTTATTCAGACTCGTGGAACATGCTGTCATGTTTAACATCTGTGTCCAAAAAGAATTAGCCATATTTAACAAAGAGCAGGCTGTCTTCTAGCTGAAGTTTTATTATTTGGTACATTTCCGACTTTCAGGTCTGAGTTAGAAATTAAGAATGCTAGTTCATTCAAACTGCAACCACCTGTTTTAACACTGTCACTAAACAATTAAGAATTAACACATTTTTCAATCAGTACAGAATGTGTTCCTGCACCCATTACCTGTCAAACGCAGAGAAGCAGACGACTGAATGGCCTTTTCCTCCAGCTCTCTGATATGAACCCTAACTCCTGCTATCACATCAGGCCATACGCCGTCAGACACTCCAACTCTTAACCAATAGCTGCCTACTGGAGTGTTTTGTCGGACAGTCAGCACTCCTGAGCTCTGATTCACACTAAAGTATCTGAAAAGAGCAGAGAAATAATTACTAGAAGGAGAACAGAGAAAAAAGGGAAAATTACTATAATACATTTATGAGAGTAATTACTGAAAAAGATGGAGTTCGTACACATTTTTTGCTTAAACTTGTCTTATTTTTTGATGAAGGGTTTCAGAGGTTTTAGTTATTTATTTTAAGCAAATTTGCTGTCAAGCTTCTAATAATAGAATCGTAAACTACAGAGAGTGAAGGAGATGGATGGATGGATGGATGGATGGATGGATGGATGGATGGATGGATGGATGGATGGATGGATGGATGGATGGATGGATGGATGGATGGGTTTTTTATTAATTGTTAAACATTCCAGACTAAATGGGAAAAAATGAATATAAATCAATTTAAAAACAGTAAGACGCAGAATAACATTTCCAATGAAGCAGAAGAAGATGAAGGAAAAAAAGAAAAAAAAAATTGGATTCAGAAGGTCCTAGAAGGGCTTGGTAGTTGTCATGGTAACGGGAAGAAGTTGCTGTATGAATAAAACAAATATGCAACTGGTATGTCTAATCTGATTCTAGAAATGCTCACACTGAATAAAAAGCCCAAGGTCCCCAAGGTAGTTTAAATGTGCCCATATACAGTAGGCTGTTTCCCCCTTTCGAAATTTTTCAGGTTGATCAAGATTTCTGTGATTGTCCGGTATGATTATAGTTTCCAGAAAAAACAATCACTTAAGATTACAGTGATTAAAATCTTAATGGAAAGTGTAGGATATAGTAGAGGGTGGGGAAATGGCTGCTAAGGAGTGGAAAAAATACTAGTTAGCTATGTTTAAACCTTGCAAAATCATTCAGTAATGGTATGTTAAGGATAACCAGGCACATACCTTGTTTTGTTTTTTTATTCTATAAATTTCGCTTTTTTATTCTTTGAAGTACTCCTGCTTTAACACTTATATCTTTGTGGCACTTTTAGAGAGAGCTAATTTTTAAGAGTAAAACAATTCTATGAAGCACTGAGCTCTTACTTGGCTGCACTTGTCTCCAGACTGTAGGTCTTGTTGTCCCAATCATCTGGATCTGGGGCATACACCTTCCCTAGAGCTGCATTTCCCATCCTTCCTGTTCAAGGTAAACATACACATACACACACACATACACATTGATTCAGTCTGGATAGAATCTGCTGATGCTAACACTTATCTTTCGTCCCTCTCTTCTCCTTCTCTTGCATTCTTGTTTTCCGTTCTACTTATTATGCTCATAACTATGGAGTCCCACTGCTGGAATGAATAGGCTCTCCATGCTCCACTTCAGAGAGCTTGGGGCTTAAAGAAGCAAGGCTATCTCACTATGGATTATGTTATTATCGACCTGCAGTGCCAGAGCACAGCAGCTGGGTAAACAATGGTTGCCTCCATGAGTCACGGCACTCCTGTTACCGACAATTACCAAAACTGCCATGTAGCCTTGTGTAGGATCAAAACACTAACAAGCCAATATTTCTAACCAGCTTACCTGGAGGGCAAAAAGAAACTCAGACAAAAGAAGAATGATGATCCTGCAATAAAATGACATATCTATGGGCTTTAGGCAAAAAAAAAAGGGG